TATATGTACTTATATGAATTTAAAAAAAGAATTCTTATTTGTATTTCCCACAATATTATTTTATAAAAATTTTTTCAAATTTTGAACATTATTATCTTCTAACATGAATCTTATTTAATATTAAGTAGCGATTAACTCGCAAAATAAAATAAACTAATAAATATATTTGTTATATATTAAAGATGTAACTTTTCCCACGATTTTTATTCGCAAATATAAATCCATGCTTCGGAAGGACTACATTATAATTATTTATAATATTGTATACTTTTTCTTGTTTGCGGATGATTTACCGGCAAATCAGTTCTTTTTTTTCTCGCGATTGCATAACGAGAAACAAGCGTGATGTGTAAGGAGCGATCTAGCTTAGAGAGATGAATTATAAATCGCTGGCCGCGCATAATTCAGCTTGTAATTGGATATTTCGTATATTTCAGGATTGCGAGAATGAGGTAATGAATAGCTCGTGGGCATTGCAAAATTTTGCGATGCCCATAACCTATCCGACACTCATTATCAATAACATTCTGTGGTTGCAGCATCCGTACCGAAAGTATCTGGGATACTGCGAGCATATCCAGAAGCAGATGAAGGAATGCATAAAGGAACAAGTAAGTCATCCCTGGTTTTGGCCACGAGCGAATTAACGTGTAATCAATTTCTCGCCGTTTGTTGCAGAGAGAAATTCATAGGAAAGAAAGCGCAGAATTCAGATACAAAAAGAGACAAAACGCGCAGCAAGATAATAGCAATTAATTGTTAATACATGAATATATTTGTTATTAATAATTTAATTATCGATTATTAAAAAACAATAGATTAGAATTTATTTTTCTAATCATACATACGTACATGTGTGTTATATGTGCGTTACTTGTCACAACTACGGAGCACCCACCGAATTTGATTTACACACTCGTAAATCTGAGACTTGGAATTTAATATGGATTTGATATCAGACGTTCATGAGCCAGAGATCAAACGTTTGAAGTCTGAGAATGAGTGTGACAAGAAGACGTGCAAAGAGAAGCAGAATAGTGACATTCAAGAAAATACTTCTGACGCAAAAGAAATCTCTTTTGAACAGTCGCAAGAGCGGAAGGAAGATAGCGAAAGACTGGAAGAAAGCGATAATGAGGATTCAGTTATTGACAACGATGATGGGTTCAAGTTTCCCCCTGATGATGATGCGTCCGATATGCTAGATGAAGTGGAGTATGATGGTCATTTTCCCACTGTTACTGATCGCTATTTTACCCCCTATTACAAAATGAACGTTCAATCGCCCGGAGACGATATATGCATACGAATACACAGTAATCGTATTTGTATGTTGTCTCTGGCACCTAGTCACGTCATTCTGCAAGGTGATAAAGACATAACGAAGGTCAGTTTTAAGGTCAGTGATAAGTTAGACAGATCTCAGAATAAAGTCTCCGGTAAGGGTAAACATGGCGCACAACCATTGCAAACTAATTCGAATATCTGTAGCATATGCTCCGATGGACAGACCTATATGATTAAGTGTTGTATGATTGGAAAGTTAGTAGAGATTAATGAGATGTTGTTGGAAAATCCAAGGCTTCTCAGAAACCTACCACATAAAGGTGGCTACTTGGCTATAATATTACCGAATCTAAAGTTTCTGGAGAGTTTGAAACAATCTCTATTGACTCATGAACAATATATTGAACTAATTAAAGAAAAAGAGAAAATAACAGCACAAACATGAAATGCAATATATGGATATATTTAGATCACATTTGCAATAATTTACATTGGATGAAAAATTATTTGGTCGAGAAAAATTTAATGATAAATACAAACACTTTATAAAAAAAAGAAATGAAAATTATCAGAATTTAAAATAATTCAAACTGGACAAATAAATTCTCTATAAATTTAATATTTTTACTTGTTTTTTACCTGATTTTTCTTTTCCTTGTTTTATAGGTATAAGATATCAATAATTTAGCAATCATTAGTGTTATCACATTATCCGTATAAAAAGATCTTATTCCATAATGTAGAGTATTTACAATTATATCTAACACAGCAATCATTTTTTCTAATATGAATTTAATAGTTTGTCTAGCTTTTGTTTCCTGAGTTGAAAAATGAGGTAAACAATTAATATTATTATATTGACATTATGATTGATGAAATCTATATAAAAATGTATAGTTATATATACATATATCAAATATGCAAAAAGTTTCAATATTTGAAATTAATGCAACATATAAAAACAAACACTTAGAATTTAAATATGGATACGAATTAAATACTTTTTGCTAATATATGTTTTTTGTTTCATCTAATTCTATATAATTTAAAGATGTTATTCTAAAATTCTGACTAATTACAAATTATCTCGACTATTCTTGATTTCATCTAGTAAAAGAATTTGGTGTTTTGTTTTTTCTTCCACTTTGCTCTCTTCTTTTACATATAATCTCTTCATTAAATTTCCTAATACAATACCAATAAATAGTATCATGCCCACTCTGTGATTGGATATGAATTTCTTGGCGCAATCTGTTGGATTATTAATATTCAAAGTATATATCTGGAAGAAAGGAATTATTTTATTGATAAGTGCTGATTTTTTAAATCACTTTTAGATAATTCAAATAATTTATAACATTTACTTGATTGCTAATATGCATTGCAATTAATCCAACAGCAGTATAGTAAGGCCAAGTTTGAGTAGTTAATACACCAGAGGCAATTAAACTCGTAATCATAACCATTCCAAATCCAGATAGATAGAATTTCGTACTGTCTCCGAATTTTATGGCTGTCGATTTAATGCCCAGCAAAATGTCATCTACCCTGTCCTGATATACAAAAGAAATTAAATTATCATGTAAGAAGATAAAGCACGAAAATTTATTATATTTTTATATTACCCACTTGATGAGCATATATCGTATCATACAGAATAGTCCAACAAATACCAGCTACATACAATGGCAAACAGACGGACCAATCGCATGATCCGCGTATAGCAGACCACCCTAATAATGCGCCCCAATTAAAAGTCATGCCCAAAATTAATTGCGGCCAATATGTTACCCTTTTCATGAGAGGATAAATTATTACTAAACCTGAAAAAAAAAAAGAAAAAAAGGTGCAAGGTACATTATAAATTATGTTAATTTTATATCGTTTATAGATTCTTTAGAATATTATTTAATACCTAGCGAACTGGCACCGAGAAATATACTATACCAATTCAATTGCAGCAATACAAGTAACCCTAGACTCAACTGCCCGGCTAGAAACATTAACGATTGCCTCGGCGTTATTTGACCGCTTACCAAAGGTCTATCCTTTGTTCTAGCTACCTAGTAACATAAGTTTCCTCTATATAATATTTGCGAGAGAAAGTTGTAGAGTATTGTTGCAAAGAGCTTTACCATCTTGTCAATATCCTGATCCCACATATCATTTATGGTACATCCTGCGCCACGCATTATGAACGCTCCTGTACCAAAAAGTGCTAACATTTGGAGATCTGGTAAGGCACCAACAGGAGCTGCCATCGCAATGCTCCAGCCACAAGGCCAAAATAATAACCAGCTTCCTAATAGAAAATTTAGAAAGAACAAAGATATTGAAGTATACACAATATGTTTGTTAATTTCAATTAACAAATTGAATAATTAGACTTTACCTATTGGTTTATCTATTCTCATAAGTTTCATATATGGTTGTACTTTAGGTGAGGCATTATTGACTAGCTTTGCGGCAATATTCAAGCATCTTTTCTGTTGTGCTAACTTGACATGAGTCAGTGCATTGTTTGTTCTTGACAAAGAATGAGCAATTTTTTGCACACTGGGATCCACTTTATGTTTGTACTTTTTATGTGCTATGGATAAAGTACGCACCTCTGTACATGGCTTAGGAAGATTCCTAGCTGTATAGTTTAATAAAGTAAAGCTAGGATACGTATTATGAGACAGCAGATTGATAACTCCAGTGAGCTGGTGGCATCTTTTTATAATTAGCATTGTTCAATGTTTCACCTATAACAATATATTTTAAAAAGAGATACATATATACACATATATATTCTAAGCAAGGTCAATCATATTTCAATCGTAAAGTATGGTTTAAATATAACCTCAGGATTATGTGCAAATTTATCTTCAATCAATTTAGCAATTAGTTTGACACGTCTTTGTCACAATTATTTGGTATGAGAATAAATTTGTGAAATAAAATATATATTTTATTCATTATATTGTTTTGAAAGAAAGTTGTCACATGGTCATAAAGGAGGTTGTGTATTTCGCAACAAATTGCAAACTCAATAATGAAAAACAATCTTAAGAATAGATCTGTCCTTACTATCACATAGTGTATTGTGCCACAGTCATTGTTACTTTATATTTTAATCACTTTGACATTCTTTGGAATTCGGTCCTTACACTATTTCACGTTTTATACACGCAAGATTGCATAACGTTTTCGTCTGCTTTTCGCACGCTATTTAGTCGATTTATCGATATCACTCGATGTCGATATATTTCAACGGTATTCAAAGATAATGATATATCGTGTGTATGCTAATATTTGAAAGAAACATGGATATTTATTCTTTTTTTTTTTTTTAAATAGTATTTTTAATTCAAATAATAACGTTGAATAAAAATGCAACATTTCTCGTCTCTGTAAATTTTATTAGGTTTATTCGTTTAAGTTACCTTTCCCCTAAAATTGAAATGAATACACATATGTGTATAAATTCAGATATCAGAGAAAAAGAAAGAAACAAAGCGCAGCTGATCTATTTTCGAAATTAAAAAGATAACCTCACGCAGCTTGTCGATTATCTAACGCGGAACCGCGTACCGCGTTGCCCATCGGGGCATTCGGGGCGCCTTTTAAAAATGGCGCCAGCCTGGCCGCCACGTGGTAGAGGGAGTCCGATTGATCGTGACGTGTGCGACTTTGTGCATGTATACGCTGCGGTCTCTCGCGACCGGTGCGCGACGTTGTATCCGCGCGATGTCCGCTGTCACGACGAGCCGGAAGCCGGAGGTGATGTTCATCCTGGGCGGCCCGGGTGCCGGCAAGGGCACGCTGTGTCGCTACATCGTCGAACGCTACGGTTATGTCCACCTGTCGGCCGGTGATCTGCTGCGCGAGGAACGCGCCAAGCCCGGTTCGCAGTACGGCGAACTCATCGAGACGCACATCAGGAACGGCACGATCGTCCCCGTGGAGATCACCTGCAGCCTCATCGACCGCGCCATGCAAACTTCCGAGAACCCCCACAATCGGTTTCTCATCGATGGCTTTCCTAGAAATCAAGATAATCTCGACGGTTGGAATAAGGTATCTTCTTCGTCGAGAAGATTCTCTTGCATATCTATATGTTAATCTTGCGCGCGTGCGCGAGAAGTTGATAAAGTGTTGTCAGAATTTTGTCACTGTAATTGTGAATATTCATATCTTATCATTTCTGTAGTTATACAACAACCGGGTAATTGATAGGTAGAGTGACATTGTGTTTTTACTGTAGGATAGCTTAATAGATGTTTAATGGAGATGAACGATGATATTAAAATGATTCATGCATGCAGATAATTTATACATGCGTATGTATGCGTATGTGTGCATTTGGAACAGTTTATAAGTCTGGTTTATTAATTTACCTCCATGTATATTGTGTCAGTTTTGTATAACTTTATCACTTAGAATTTTTAAAATAATCATGTCAAAATTAAGCTTTCCTAAAACTAAATTTTGGCACAATGCACTCTTGATTTCATACATTTTGCATTTTATAGATTTTATTCATTTATTTTTGATGTTATTATACCTAGATATGTTTCTATGTATTCACAGGTGATGGCTGACAAGGTTATACTGAAAGGCGTAATATTCTGCGAATGCAGTCAGGAAGTCTGCACTCAACGTTGTCTGAATCGTGGTGCCAGTGGTAGCGGTCGCAGTGACGACAATGAGCAATCCTTGGTTTTACGTCATCAGACTTACCTGAAAAACACATTACCGATAATAGAAATGTATGAACGACAGGGATTAGTTTACAAAGTTAATTCTATGAAGACACCGGAAGAGGTGTTTCAAGATGTCGCAGAGTTCTTCCCTAAGTTAGGATGGTAATAACAACGGTTCTAAACGCATTTCTTTCCTAAAACAATTCTAATAAATATATTATTGTACTTTTTAATGCTAAGGAATATTTAGTTCTATATCTATATCATGATATAGACACATTTTTACACACATGGTAGTATCTGTATTTTATAGGGCGTATCACACTTTATTTATAGATAGCACAGAGATTTGTCTAATTTTATTTTACTGGTATCTATATTTTATTCCAATCTTTGTATACACATTGCAAATTTTATTGGCTAAACATTCCTTCACAAATGTACAATAATACAATGCAAATGCGGGTGATATTGGTATAACAATTGAAAAACGCTGTAAATATCCTGCCAGAAGTACCGAGAGTATCAGCGACCCGTATTGTAAATTCTTTGATACAATATTATATAGAGAGTTGGCATACATGGCTTATATATTTATAGAACAAGTGTTCAAGTGACGTGTTATCATTATTGGATTGTACTGAATGAGAATTTAACGATTGTTAGGAAAAATCGTATATCAATGCGAGAAGAGACGGAAGAGAAGATAAATGGAAGAGACATGTATTATGTATTTTTAATTTACATATGTAAAAATATATTCATAATTGATATGTCAGGGCATTTTATTTCAGACTTCCTGCTTTTATCTGATCCCCTTCAAATTATTTTCTAAATATTATAGTATAACGACGTTATTCGGACAATTACACAATGAGACAGGAATGTAATCGTATAAATAATATTCCGGGAGAAAATACAAGTATTGTTACAGAGCTGAATTCATGGAATTAATTTTATACAAAAGATGTCATATTTTCGCAGCTATATCAACGGTGATATTCACGATGTGCATTTTGACAACTAAATCAACAAATAATATACAACTAATTTCACCCTTTTAATTAAATATCATTAAATGCATAAAAATCATCCTAGAATTCGTAATAGATTATAAAATAACGTTGATCATACCGAAGCATACATCCGTATATTTTTTTTCACATTCTATAATTCGTCGGCGGGATATTTGCATTTCCTCTTTTTTTTTAATGGAATATTCGAGGTGAATGAACTCGATCAGGCGAAATCTTTTATTATCGCGGAAAATCGGCGAAAACAATGACGGGAAGTACTTAAACTGATTGTGGCGTGAAGGTGACAGATAGGCGCAATGTACAATGTCCCCTTATCAGAGATGCCTGTGTGATATAACTCTTATTTAATGCGAAAGATAGGAGGGTAAATCGTAAGTGTAGTAAATAAAACAAAATGAGAGATTACAGAGTGCAATCCCCGTTAACGATGGCAAACATAACGTAACATTCGTGTACAGTGAATCTGAATCATCGTTCTTTCGTATACATATATGTATATATCTTTGACTGTATACATGTTTACAAGTCGTCGATGCCGGGGAGATGCCTGCTGTGTCTTTGATGTGGGCCTCACGAAAGTTCGTTCACGTTAAATTTTTTTCAACTACAGCGTCGAGAAAGTCGAATGTACTGGTCCCGACGAGCAATCGCATATTATTACGTAGAGGGGACTACATTTACAGCAGCCGAGGACGAGAGGGGAAATTTCTTCGCGAAACGATGCTGGTAGAAATTCGTATGACGATTTCATGAGAAATTCCAGAGCCTATAACCGACTTAAGGATTTGAAGATTTCGTATACTTTTGGCGATAAGACATCTATAGTTTGCGATTTTAAATCGAGCTTACGGCTTGTTTTAATCGCACTTATCTAATTGCAGCAATTATAAGTAGATGAAATTGAAATTAATTGTATAGAAAGATCTCATGAGGCGAAATAATATAACAAGAATTATATATATATGTGATCATCGAAAGATAGGTTCTACTTTTCTTAAAAATTCTTGTTTTAATTAAAAGAAATAATTAACTTATTATTTTTTAATTCACTTTAATGTTCATATATCCCGATGGATGTGTAAATCATTATTATTATAACTATTATACTTTTCTATTATAAAAATGTAAACGAAATTCCAATGAAAATTATACACTGAGATTTATTGCAACAGATTTCACGTTAGATAGCATACATACAGTATACGATTTTTAATAAGATATCATTACGAAGATGCGAGAAGCGAGAAGAAGCAAGACAAAAAGAAACAACGCATGGCTTATACTAGATGACCTTCAAAATGTTACTTATGCAACTGTCAGCGATATGCACCGGTCTCTTTATTTCTATCGATTATCATATCCAATACTGGCCTTGACCTAAACATGCATACGTTTAGTTATAAACGAATGAGATTAAAGAATCCTTAGTCGCGCTTAGAGTTGAATATACAACAGTTGCCTTCTCTGTATATCTTTGACGCGCTCGTTTCAGATCTATGATCTAACAGTGACTGATGGAATGAATGAGTCGTAGTCGATTCAAAGCTATGATTATAATTCTCGCGAAAACGGCATAGACAGCAAAGACATATGCGAATCCTTCGTCCGAGACCTCTGAGATTATCCTCGGTGGCTTCTTACATTTCGCAATTCTCGACATTAATCAAGTTTTTGCGATTTCTAAAAGAATTTTTAAGTGTTTCTTAAGAATCGACTTTGAATCAATTTTTTTTTAAGATCATACATTTTCGAGCGTTTGAAGTATGGCTTCTTATAAATTTCAGGCATTACGAAATGATATTTTGACCTCAGGTGATAAAACGTCTTTTTAAATTCATTTGACGATAATTAATCAGTAGATGATTGATATTATCGGAGATATATAAGATTAAAAATGCGCGCTTCAAAAACGATTAAGGTTTAATGAACTGGTTGGGTAATTTCAGTATCACAATTTTATCCCACTTGTAATGATATTCATGTTAGAATCTGAAAAATAATGGCGTTATTCTGTACACGGTTACCGATAACTGTAAGCTCTATAAAATCATCGGCTCTGAAAAGTCATCGTCCATCCGTAAGCTCTTTTTGACATATCAGAAAACATGCGCAACGACACTTACAGATTATCGATAGCCATCCTACTGAATAGTGTATTGAAGTATATAAAGTATTGAAATACTAATTGTAAGTCAAGGAAAGTGTCATCGCTGTGTTCTCTAGGGTCGTGCACAACAAAGCAACCGTCATTATTCTTAATAGACAAAATATCGAGCTGATAAAACTTGCTTGATACATGAATAGATTCTGATTAAATTAAACTTTAACCTTTGGTCTCTAAAAGGCTTTAGAATTTTTATTAGAATATTATCATATTAGCGATAAAAGAATAAATTTGTTTGTCTCTAATCTTCAAAAAACATATTTCACAAGTCACTATTTTGATGCACATTAGAGTTCAGTTTAAATTATTAAAGCTGACCTTTTTATTTTTCTCGCAATCTGTCCTTTTCAATTTAAAAAGTAAAAAAGACTGACTGCGCACATTCATGTTGTGAGACATTTTGTATAATAATAAATATAATTTGATCGATCGAA